GCGGAAAAGTGTTCCCTCCATAATTTAAGTACGCTCTGGACATCAGTTACTAGGTCGCCATTATTGTTCTTACAGGAGTGCGCCCCGGTCTTTAAACCTTCCGTAAGTCGCCTAACTCTCTGGTAAAATTTTCGGGCATTCCTCCTGTCGGCCAGCATTTCAAGCTCTTCGCACTCACGTATTTCTGCCTCTCTCTTCTTGTTGCGGCAAATACGTCTCGCTTCCCTCTTCAGATCCCTATAGCGGTCCCACATAGCGCGCGTTGCGCCCGATCTCAGCGTGGCCCTGTAGGCGGCATCTTTTTGCTCTGCAGCTTCCTGACACTCCTCATCGTACCAGTTGTTCTTTCGGGCTCGCTGAAATCCGACTACTTCTTCGGCGGCGGTACTTAAAGAGCGGGAAATGTGGTTCCACTGCTCGCATATGTCGGTTTGTTGAAGAGTGCTCTCTGAGAGCAGGTGTGAGAGTCGAGTAGCGAAAGCGCTGGCTGTCTGTTGTGATTGCAGCTTTTCGACGTTAAGCTTTCCTTGCATATTTGGGCGCACATTTTTTGCTGCACAGAGGCGGGTGCGTATCTTGGCTGCAACAAGATAGTGGTCCGAGTCGATGTTTGGGCCTCGGAGTGTGCGTACGTCTAAAACACTGGAAGCGTGCCTTCCGTCTATCACAACATGATCGATTTGGTTTCTCGGAGACAGCCAGGTAGCTTGATGGATCTTTTTATGCTTGAACCTAGTACAACTTAACTTAAAAAGAATTAAAACTAAAGCATGCAATATATAAAGAAAATTAAAAATTGTCTTACATCTAGTAAACTTGAAAAAATGCACTTTAAATTCTTTTTTCATGTTAAAATAAAATTAAATATCACAATTCAGTTGAAGTGTATACATATGTACATATTTACAAAATGTGGTCGGTTTGCACCCACAGTGAGTTCCCATGAAGCCTAGCCCAAATTCAGAACTGAAAAAAAACGAGCAAATGGGGTCGGTAACTACTAGCTTTAAAAGCTCAATGTGGAAAATGTTTGAAGAGCTGCGAAACTGTATTGCAATAATAAAAATAACAGTGCATAAATTGGAAAAATGGTTTTTGTTTTGCTTTATAATTTTTTTATTGTTTGGTTTTTCAGCTCATTAATGATGCACCCAGAGTTGCATTTACTATCTATGAAAATATTTCATGAAGCATTCCAAAATTAGCTCCGAGCAACTAAAAGTTGGTTAAGCTTAAATGAAATAGTTTTTTATTAAATATTTATTCCTGGTATTTAGTAAAAATGATTCAGATCAATACTAATGTATGAAATGAAAGTAAATAAAAATCTACGAATACATTTCATGAATATTTTGTCATAGAGCCATTATTAAATACAGATATAACTTTGTCGGGCGTTGGTGCTGACGTATATAGAATTAATGAGAGAGATAAATATACAAGCTCAACGCGCTAATTTAGGTATACTTGTATACCTGTTACTCGTCTTGCATATACTCTAACTGCGAAAATAATGACAATTATAATTTATTTAGATGCATATTTTAGCTAAATGTTATATCGTCGCCTGGATCAAAGATTGTCACAAGTTACTTTCGGTAACTCACGATTGAAGTTTGGAATGCAATTTCTCCAAAGTGTCGGAGAGTAGTTCATGAAATTCTTAAATTATCTTATTTTTTAGTTTAGTGTCAACCATTTATGAGTTTAATAAAATTTTGTCGTATACGGCATTTGTCAAAAAATTTGCAGTCAGTTTCAATGATATACGTCAACATGTGATAACAATTTTTATAAATTAACGATATTTTTTACTAATCAGCCTAATCGTGAGTTTCGCCCGAACCAAATTTCGCCAACAATTTTTTCATCCACCTGTAGTGAATACACGCAAACTAAAAGTGAAAAAGTGACCCGGTTCTAGAAAATGAAACTCATGATAAAGCTGAATATGTCGGAAACTAAAGAAGAACAGATAACTCTATTTGAAAAATCTTGATTAGTTTAGTACGACAGCAATACTAACGCAATTTGTACCAAATAACCGAAAACATTTTAGTCAATTACTCGGAAACTAAAGAAGATATCCAAAAACCACAAATTGTCAAAATGACGCTTCCGGCAATTTTCCATCCAAGCGACGATATTTGAATGTTACTAGCATATTTTCGGGCCTGTATGTAAATTTTCGGGAGAAAGGTTAAAAAGTATATTCATCTGCTGAAAAGATATTTTCGCAGATACACAATTTATTTAAAATAAATCTATCAGCCCTATCTCCAATTTCATGTGAATAAATCTCTCCAGTGCTTAAATAAATTTCACCACATTAAATAGCTGAACAACACCCTAATTGCCGAAAGCGTTGCTTGCAACACTAGTCCTTTATGGGGACCAAACTTGGTGAAAAAAAATAGCTAAGGTTGTTTACTGGATATACTGAGCACTGGTCGTTCGGCATAATACGAACGGAATGAATAAACGATGCCGATGTTTTTCACTTTTTTAGCCGATGTATCGTCCAGCAAAACATCGATGTTAACATCGATATTTTTGGACGAAACATCGATGTTTTCAAAACATCAACATGCATCGTTTGTATCCCTAGTTGTAAAGGGTAATACGGCTTTCCTACGCCACCGTGAATTACTTTGTTCGATCCTCCAATTACGATCGCGAATTACCCCTTTCCTACAGGCACATTCTTAATTCGATTTGACAGTTCTCTATCATTGTGTTTTGTTTTTTTGTTATTCGCTACAAAATTTATGCCAAATGTAAGTAATTGCTAAAAATTTATAAGTTTCCGTATTAAATTGGTGATGTACACATGTATATACTTTACTTTTCGTACTCAGAAAAAGTGAGTTTTGATTTGTGAACTGGTTTCGATAAACTTCCGATAAATATTAGAGACGCCAGCGATTTTCTCGTAAAGGCCCGTTTACATACAACTTTGGCGTTGCGTTGGCGTTGGCGT